TAAACTCTTCAGGGGATGGTGTGATAAGAATAGGAGGTAGGAACTGGCTAGGCAGTTAGGGTAAAAAGACCCCAAAGAAAAGTTGCCAGTGTCTGGGCTAAAAGTCAAAATGTCCTTGGGCCTCTTAGGAGCATACTCTGTTCCAAAGGCCAAAAATGTCAAAAGAATTTTGGAGCTTGTATCTCCAAAAATGTCTAAAGTATTTTGGAGCTGTTATCTAATCCTTAAAAGATTTTAGGGTTACCTCTTCAGAGGGGGGAATGTTAGAGTAGCCCAAAGCCCCATAAAAATAAATGAAAGAAGAAAAAAAAATTTTTTTTCACATCATCCCTTGGCAGTGATCATATATATTGGTGAATTTGAGACTTCTAGCACAGATGCATACACTCCCCTTAGGCTATTATAGAAAATTTAATTAGTCATCACTTTTTTTATTATTTTTTTATTATTTTTATTTTTTATGTGTATGTGTGTATTGCCTGCATGTAGGTAAGTGCACTTGTATCGTGTAATGCCCGCGGAGGTCAGAAGAGGCTGTCGGATCCACTGAGACTGGAGTTATGGACAGTTGTTAGCTGCCATGTGGGTGCTGGGACATGAACCCCGGTCTTCTGCAAGAACAACCAGTGTTCTTAACCACTGAGCCATCTCTCCAGTCCCAGAAAATTTAGTCATCACTTTTACAAAAAAGCAGGTGTTTCCAGCAAGTGTGGGGTTATGACATCTACCAGTAAAATGCTGATGCCAGCACAGTCTTAGTTATTTTAACAAATAAGACACATTGTGGCAAGTGCTTCCTAAAATCCATTGCAAGAGGCAGCATTTCCCAAGGAGCTAACAGACTGTGGTTTTCGTGGCCTTGTTTTATCTCAGCCTGAGACTGAACTCAGAGTACTTTATGATTTGAATACAAGACACTTCCAAAATCATGTTTCTTCTGCATATATCAACAAGTGTACTTATTATGAGTACATAAAGTTCTCACTCGTCTACCACACAGAAAGTTATACTGAGGTCATGGTTCATTCATTAGATCCACATTTGGTGGAATTTTTCTCCACAGAGAACAGCTACCATCACCCACACAAGCCTCTCACTGGATTGTGCCTGTTCCTCCCTGGTGGAGGGAAGAAGGCAATTCACAGGCCTTCTGATGACCCTTCTCTCCTTGAGGTTAAAGAGGCCAACAGTGGATGGGGTGGGCTCCCCCAGTAGTGCACTTGCCTGAGGGAATTTCTGGGGGTGTAGCTGCCGTTGGGACACCTATATTCCTGCAAGTGACCCCAATGAACTACTTGGTTCACCAGGCTAGACTTTCTTTGGTCTGTTAAGTGCTCTCCCTATCTGGAGTGGCTAGATTTTTTGGCATCTTTTCTTCAGGAAAAGCCACACTTTAAGTCAAATGACAAGAGCCTTAGTCAAAGGATGATGGAAAAGAGCTGGAAGAAACCTCATTCTCTAAAAGCCTTGTCAGCCTGTGTAGTGATTTCCTTGGAACTGAAACATTCTGTCTTGAAGGGAGGTTGTTAAGACTCAGGGAGTAAACTATATTCAAGGGAGGTTGTTAAGACTCAGAGTAGCTGGGCATGGTGGTGCACTCGGTTAATCCCAGCACTTGGGAAGCAGGGCAGGCAGATCTTTGTGAGTTTGAGGCCAGCCTAGTCTACATTGTGAGTTCCAGGACAGTTAGGGTTACAAGGAGACCCTGTCTCAAAAAAAAAAAAAAAAAAAAAAAAAACCTCAGGGAATAAACAAAATTCACTAGACTCAGGAAGTAAATACAATTCATGAGACTCAGGAAGTAAACAAGTCTCAAGAAGTCCCTGAAACTCACAAGGTCCATAATGACCGTTCCCAAGGTTATGTAAGTGGTAAAGCCTGCTTTTGGGGAGACAGACACTCTGCAGAGCTGCCTCTAAATCCTGCAGAGAACTTGAGGCATTTTTATTTTATGTGTAGGAATGTATTGCCTACATGTTTGTAGTGCACCTGTGTCAGAAGAGACTTGTCTGGAATCCCTGGGACTTAAGTTAGGGATGGTTGTTAGCTGGCAATAACTAATTGTGTAATCTTGGCAAGTTAATCTCTGTTTACAGGAGCTTTTAGTGTCCAAGCTTGGACCATGGCAGCCCTAACAAGCTAGGCTCAGCTACCAATTCTCAATATGTTAAATAAAGAGATAAGTAAGGAAACACAGAGAAAGATTTATTTAATGTGGTCACATTGGGAAGAGGAACATATAAAAGGCTCCAGTGACTCTCCAAGACCACCTTGGGGCCCTCCCCTCCCCACTCCTTTTCCCAGCATAGGGCTCCTGGGTTGTCTCAGTGATCTGATAGTGAAGGGAGGGGAGCAAATGTCTCTTTTTAGAATATCTTGGCTCCTGTGATTACTTGTTTAGGTTTCTCCAGACAACCATACACAGCTCATTCAATTTTTATTTTGACTGAACACAAAGTGATTAGAATTGTGTTTGGTACATATTACACTCAAAAGTTAGTTATTTAAATATTAAAATATTAGAATGCCCTCAGCAGGGTAGCTGGCAGTAGTTGGTAGTAGTTTTTATTTAAAACAAATATGAAAACAAACTAAAGCAAGTTTGCAAGAGAATTCCAGAAACAGGACCCTCATTGGGGAATCCTAAACACAGGACTACAGTACCCTGGTGATGTATCGTGGGTCCTTGAGTCCAGAACTTCACTCCCAGTCCAGGTCCTTCGCCAGACCACAGACTTCTGAATTCCTAGTGCTCATCCTTCCCCTTTGAAGGCTTTTAAAGCATCATACATAAACATCTATATTTAAATATGTGCCTGTATTACGTGTGTGTGCGTGCACACGTCGTGGCAACTTTTGTGGAGTCGTTTCTCTCCGTCCACTTTTTACGGGGGGTGGGGGGGTCCAGGCATCAAATTCAAGTCTCCAGGTTTGTGCATCAGGCGTTCCCCACGCTGAGCCATCTCGCCGGCCCACATATGTACATATATATATGTATGTATGTACATACATATGTATGTATACGGCTGGGAGGACACACACTATTCAATCTCTGAAGTTTTAGTTCTGCAGCGCACACCAGCGACTCTTCGTTGCTAGAATCGCAATCAGAAAGGACAGTCCACGGAACAGTGCGGTCGCCCCACGCTTTCCACTTACACAAGGCCCTGCCGCTCCCTCTTCAGCATCCTCCGTCGCCACCACCTACTTGAGTGACAGCTTCGCTGTGTCTGGGCATTCGGGTCTCCAGACGCCCGGGTTCTCAGGGTCCGCGCGCCCACGTGGGGCCGCTCCTCTCCAGGCTGTGTGGAAAGAGACCAGAGAGCTACAGGAAGCTGCGGGCCGGGTGCCGCCGCATCCCAACCCAAGGCTGCGGGCGCCCGGCTCCGAAAGCCCCAGGGCGCAGGCGCGCTCAGGACCCGCCCCTTCCCCGAGGCTCTGCGTCTATTGGCTGAAGCCCCGAGGGCGGGACCTGCTGCGGTCACGTGCGGGGCGGGGCTGCGTCTCCGTTCCAGCTGGGGAGCGGGCGGGCGGCCTGGTTGTGCAGTGGGGTTCTGCTAGCAGCTTGCGGGTTTCGGCGGCCTCCGATCCGTCTCTCCCTCCCCGGCGGAAGTAGGGGCCGCATTCGCCGCAGCGGAGAGCGCTGTCCCGGAAGCCCCGGCTTGAGTGTCCGACCACCGGAAGTGCCGCCGAGGCCGGACCGGCTGAGTAAGCGCGGGGCGAAACCGCGGGGCCTACGGCCATGGCGTCGGGTGCTTGGAGTGTGAGAGGTCGGGGGGAGCTGTGGGTAAGTCCTGGAAGCCGCGACGTCGGGCGGACCCTCCGCTCCAGCTCCTCCCCTCCAGGCCCCTTTCCTCCTCCTTTCCCTCCCTCCCCTCCCGGCCCCCTCCCTTCACCTGCTCCCTCCCTTCCCCTCCCCTCCTGCCCCTTCCCCTCCCCTCTCTGCCTCCTGCTCTCTTCCCTCCCTCCGATCTTCCTCCCCTCCCTTTCCCTCCTCTCCCGTCCGGATTAGCGGTCCTGCAGCCTGTCCTCTGCAGAGCCCGGCCAGGAAAAGCAGTCCATAACCACTTATTTTTAGGGGCCTGAGTTATATGTAACTCTGTATCACGTGCATCCTGCAGTTTTTGGTGTGGGGAGAATGGAGTCTTGACCTTATTGCAATAACGCTGTGCCTGGGTGCCGGCCCCCAGTCTGCAATCCGCAGGGCTTGGGAGGTGGAGGCTGGAGGATCAGGTCAGGGCCAACCTGAGCTCCTGGAGACCTGGTTTCAACAGAATGAGGGAAAAGTATTACTACAAACAGTAGCAGCAGGAGGAGAACAGGGCCTTGGGCCTTGTGAAGTGTTATATTGTGTAAAGCAGATCTCAGAGGAACTTCCTGGCCAGGCACTTCTTGCAGGAGAAACAGTAAGCAGACAGGGTTGAGGGCTGCGTCTGGACAGACCTTGCTTCCACGCTTGCTTTTTCCTCTAGGGAGGGAAGAGTCGAATGTTGTCAGCAGTTCTAGAGACCTTCTGTTGCCAAAAGGAATTGGTCTTGAGTTGTTCTTGTTCTGCTAGGTGGTGTACCAGGCTCTCTTTATGAGTGTGGATTTTGGAGTAGGGATGGGCAGGGAGGAAGGGGGCAGGAACATGGGAACAGGGATGGCCCATAGCTGGGGCCATAGTGGTGATGACTGAGCCCTCTCCTTCAGCAGAAGTTCCTTTCTTCTCCAGCAACCATGTGTATTTATAGCAAGCTGGCAACAGTTGCCACTCCTTTGATTTGCCACACAAAGGAGGCAGTGTGCCCACTATTCAAGCAAGCTCTGGGGGCAGAGGATGGCTGTTTAAACCCTGACTCAGTTACCTAACTACCTGTGAGCTCTTGAGTGATTAGCTAACTGCTGTATGCAGCATGTTTTCTGTCTGTAAGATGCAGATTTGGTGTTAGTATCTAATTTACAGGGTTCCTGTGAGGATTAAATGAAATAATCCATGTACTCAATGTAAAATAAGTGAGTTCCCTAGTCTGGGGCCTGTACAAGCAAGCATGGTGTTTCAGACAGTGCCTTAAATACTATATGTGGTTGTCCGGTATATCCTTTGGGAAGATACCCTTGGCTCTGAATCCTGTGACTCCTGTCTACTTGAACTTTGTTTCCTCCCTGCTTATAATAGGCAGTCTGACCTTGCACCCAAAGAGAGCAGTAGCCTCTTCCTAGGGTTCGATAAGAGAAACCATCCTAGGGGATGGTAACCTGTTTCCGAGGTTTGGAAGATGCGTTTGGGATTCCCAGATGTGGACCAGTCAAGATGTTCGCTTAGTGTGTTGTATTGCTAGAGACCCAAGGATGATAATGGCCCATTTTTGTTCTGATATTTGTGTGTGTTGTTGAACAGATGTATTTTAAACATTACAGATACTGCAGTAATCAAAAGACTAAGTCCTAGCCATAATATAGATGTTCTATTTTAGTAGGCAAATGTGGGAACATATGAATTACATATCTCAAAGTTGGATGGTGTATTATATTGAGAAGTGTGTGAAAGGGCATGCATTGTCGTAAAAGTCATGCGTGCTGCTCTTTAAGGCGGTAAATCTCAGTCTGCTAGTTGAATCCAGCAGTGGCGAAGGCTGTGTGGAGGAACAGTGTTCTAAGCGGAAGGAACAGTACAGACATTTTGAGGTGCCTCTGAGGCTGAGGATGGCAGAAGTTCCACTGATGCAGGGCAGTAGAAACTGGATTTTACTGTACATGTGGTTGGAAACAGTATTTTAAACTAGGGAAGTATCGTAGTCTTTTTTGAAGTTTGATGACAGACTATGTTTTGTTTGAATAGGAAAATTGTTTCCTTATTTAAAATTGTTTTTCTTCCCTCATAGACCCGCATTTTCCTGACTGTTGAGGGCAGATGTGCCCTCTGAGCTATTGGCTTAATGGGATCATCTATTGATTTGCCAGGCTGTGAGCAAGCTTAGAATGAATGCTTTATTTGCAAGGTGTTCTTTTGAGCTTGATAGTGACGTTTTGGAAGACAAAACTCCCAGGGCTCGTCTCTGAGCTCATTTGTGCCTTGCCGCTTTACTTGTGACTAGAATTCTTCCTTCTCCTTCTGATGCTTCTCTGTGAACTTTTTTCTAGTTCTGGCATCATTTTGATTCCTCAGTAACATGCTCAGTCACTGTAGTTGTGGATTTTGAACAAGCACAAGAGTCAGATACAAAGGATAGGCTCGGTAAGTGCCAATAGTTTCATGTGAAGGTGCAGTTCAGAATACATTGAACTTGCTGTTGGCTGAGCATCTGCTGAAAGCAGGCATTGAGCCCAATCCTCCCTCACAGTGGCTAGTTCTTGTAGGGATGGAGTCATATACCTTACTGTCCTTTTTTTTCATATTTTTGTTTTTATTTTCTGTGATGAGTGTTTTGCTTACACGTACGTCAGTGCACCCATGTCATGCAATGCCCGTGGAGACCAGAATAGGGCTCCAGATCCCCTGGAACTGGAGTTATGGCCTGTTGTGAGCTGCCATGTGGGTGCTGGGAACCAAACCTGGGTCCTCTGCAAGAGCAGCCAGGGCTCTAACCATGGAGCCACCTCTCTAGTCCCTCCCTCACTGTCTTGTGAAGGGGAAGTTGAAGCCAAAGGGAGGTGAATTTCTTGACCATGTTCCTCAGTTCAAAAGCAGCAGGGGGACTTTGAAGAAAACACTGATCCAAGAGATTAAGCCTCAGTTTTAACTACCAGAATATATCAACCTTCAGCCACTGTGTTTTTACATATAACAAATTTTTTAAAAACCCAACAAAACCTGCCGGGCATGTTGATGCATGCCTTTTAATCCCAGCATTCAGGAGGCCGAGGCAAGTCAGTCTCTGAGTTTGAGGTCAGATTAGTCTACAGAGTGAGTTCTAGGCCAGCTCAGGAGTACATAGTGTGACCTTGTCTCAAAAACCACAAAAACAAAATACAAAAAAAAACCCTTGTAATTTTGAAATAATTTCAGACTTCACAAAATTATAAAATAGTATACCGAATGCTTATATACCCTTCTCTTGTCTTTTCTAAATATTAACATCATGCTGTGTTTACATAATGGTTTTATATGTGTCTAGGCACAGAGATGTTTACATGTTTTGAACCATTTAAGCTCAACCATTTAAGACTGTGAGAGAGAGAAGTCCTGTCCCGGTATGGAGCTCACGTCTACACCTCCAGTGCCACTGTCTGCTCTTTCCAGGAGAGCTGATAAAGTGGTTATTCAGTTACACTTTCTGTAGTGTTTAATTCTTCCTAGAACGCTAACGGACTGGTACCAGACCAGTTCAGAGTTAGGGAAAAGACATTCACACACCTGTGGTCTAATTTCCAGATGCTGTTCAGACTTAACCAGCTCTTCCATTGGTTATTTATAGAAAGGGGAGAAAAAAGGTGCTTTTGTGGCCCACGAGACCAGCCAACATCAGTTTATTTCACTGCAGCGTCATCTTTATTGTAGAACTTTGTCTTTCATAACCTTGATACCCTTTGTAGAGTCAGGATTTATTTGGTTTGTCTGATGTCTCCTGAATAGGGTGAGGAATTTGCCATCTGGCTCTGTGCCTTAGTTAGGGTTTCTTTGCGTCACAGGAGAAGGCATGTGGTCTGCTTTCTTTCATACTGATCTCCTGGTTCAGGTACTGGCTTCCAGGTTCTAGACTATGAAGTCACTCTTTGTGTTTAGTAAGCATCTTTTCATGGTGTATTTACTAAATAACCTTTTCATTAACGAGACTTTTGCCAGATGTAATGCTCTTCTTTTGATTGGACAGGTGATTTAAAATGTCCTCTCTTTATTCACGTATTATTTTATGAGTTTAGATTTATAGATTCTTATTCTGTTAATGATGTGTTAACTCTCAGGAGGCTGAGGCAGAAGGATTTGTGTGAGTTCAAGGCCAGCCTGGGCTATACAAGTTCTGGACCAGGTGGCTACGCAGTGATCCTCTGCCTCAAAAGAAACAAGTAATATCAATGATAATAACAGGTGGGTGTGGTGGTACATGCCTGTAATTCCAGCTACTTGGGAGTTGAGACAGGATTGCAGCTTCCAAACTAGTTGGGGAACTAGGAAAAACCTTTCTCAAATATAAAAAGGATGGGGTGTAGCTTGGTGGTAGTGTTTGCCTGGTGTGTCCAGGCCCTGAGTTCAGTTCTCATCGCCATAAAACACTAAACATCAGCACCCCATTCTTCTTGAGTGCTTCTCTCTCTCTGCCTTTGGCCCAGTGGGATATTCCAGGCCTGTTTGCAAACTGTGTCATCAGGCAGTTCTCCCTTGATTCCTCTCTGTGAAGACTGGTACCCAGAACCCAGAGCTTAGGTGCTTGGTAAATCCATTACTCTTGGGATTGCAATTCTTTGTTGTCAGCTGACATCATCAGAAAAACCGCATTCTCGTGAGTACACACGTATCTGCTTTCTCGTTATACTTTAAACCGTGGTCTCGTCTGATACCCCTCCGCCCCATATCAGTTCACAGTGCAGAGTGCGGTCTTTTCTGTTTGTAATCTCCCTCTCCAACTGTGGGGAGTCTACACATTGAGTAGTATATTCCAAGAGGAAAATCCCTACTAACTACAGGTAGTAATTGTTTTCAGTTGGAGAGGTTGTATCTCCCTGTAATCCCAGCACACCCCAACACCCCAGGTGCTAAGGCAGGAGGATCAGAGTTCAAGTCCTACCTGGGCTACATAATTAGCCTCTGTATTAGTTTCTTTTCTGTTGCTGTGATAGAAACACCATGACCAACGGAACTTATAGAAGGAAGAGTTTATTTAGCTTAGGGTTACAAAGGGGCAAGAGTCCATCATGGCGGCAGAGGTGACTGGAGGAGTGGAAGGTAAGCGCTCACATCTACAAGCAGGCGCAGGAAGCAAGAGAGCTACTCAAGATCCAGCAAGATTTAAGAACTCTCTAAGCCTGCCCCCAGTGACCTGCTTCCTCCAGCATGGCCACACCTTCTAAGACCTCCCAAAATAGCTCCACCAACCGGGCACAAAATGTGCAAACACTTGGAGCCTATGAGACATCTCATTCAAACCACCACGGCCTCTTTCTAAAAATATTTCAAATATTTTCAAATACTTTGAGGCCCTACTGCTTTTATCTTGAGTCTGTGTAGCCCTGCACTCTGTTAGTTATTTTCCCCTCTTTTGGTGATCATATTATTCATTTGAAATAAACTCTGGCTTGTTCTGAGACAGGGCCTCACTCTGTAGTTGCTGCTGACCTTAAGCTTGTGGCAGTCCTGCCTCAGCCTTGAGAACTGGGACTGTAGCTGTGAGCACCACACCTGGCTGCTGCTTGCTTTTGTTTCTATATCATTTTACAGCTCCCCCACCCTTCTGTGCTAGGGATTGAACCTAGGGCCTCACTTGCTGGACTGCTGAGCTGCATGCCCAGCCCTTGCATTTTGTCTGTTGAATGTGTATATATGCAAAAATGTATTGTTAGAGAAATGCAACTGCCCTCCTCATTCACACTAATTCTGTGTTTCTGTCATTTGATCCACGTTCACCTGTCTTGTAATCAAGTATGTTGGTTTCTTGTTTATCTTTTCTTAATTTCTTTTCTGGACAAATGAATAAATACACGTATAGGTTTTAATGACTGCTTTCTAGCACAAAATATATCACTTTTGTATACTTAAATTACAATTTGGGCTGGAGAGGTGGCTCAGTGGTTAAGAGAGCTTCCTGCCCTTCCAAGGACTTGAGTTTGGTTCCTAGGACCCTGGTCAGATGGCTCACAACTGCCTATTATTCCAGCTCTGGGAGATCTGACACCCTCTTCTGACCTCTAAACACCTACACACATGGTATACACTCACATAGACACACACACACATATGTAAATAAAAACATCTTTAAAGATATTTACAATTCTTTCTAATATAAAAAGTCATAGCCTGGGGCTGGAGAGAAGGCTCAGTGGTTAAGAGTGCTTGCTCCAAAGTCTTGGGGACTGGAGTTCAAATCCCAGCACTACATAACAAGCCAGGAATCCCTGCAAGTGTCTGTAACCCCAGCTCTGTGTGGGACAGACAGGAGTATCTCTGGGGCTTGCTGGCTTCCAGCCTTGCCAAGCAAACATGAACCCCGAGGTCCGGGAGAGACCCTGCCTCCAAGGAACAAAAACATGAACCCGAGGTCCGGGAGAGACCCTGCCTCCAAGGAACAAAAGCAGCGATGGAAGAGTACACCTGACACCTCCTGGCCTGCAGTGCGTGTGTATAGGCGTGCATATCTGTGCACAAATGTGCACACATACTTAGACAACTATATGCATAAATCTTAAAAAGTAAAAAAAAAAAAATCTTAAGTCTTAGCCTTACCCAGAGTCAATTTTTGAAACTATGGTGTATTTACATGTAGGAATTCAGTTATAGTTTACATTTAGATTTATAATGCATTTAAAAAATTTGTTTGAAAAATAAAAATTGTATGATTTTGTAAAACATACTTGATACCAGATATGTGCATGTATGTGGTGCACACACACACTATGGAATGGCTAAATCAAGCTTATTTAACATTCGTATTAACATCAAGTTTTTGCACTTAAAATCTACTTGTTCAGCCAGGCGTGGTTGTGCACACATAAAAACTCAGCACTCAGGAGGATCATATTCCCAAGGCCTGATTGAATGGGGTATTGAGATTATCTCTCAAAATACAAAACAGGATGAAAAAGTCCAGTCAGAACTTTCCTCATAAGGCTTGTTAACTGCAGTCACCATGAACTACAGTAGGTCTTCAGAACGTGGTCTTTCTAACTGAATGTTGCGTGCGTAGAGTGCGCCCTCTTCCTGCCCTCTCACGCCCAGCCTGTGTGTGAACCACCGTCCTCTCACAGTAAGCAGCATACTCTTAGCATGCAGGGGTTTTCTTGTTTCTGCCTCCTCTTCCCTCTAGTTTTTAAAACAAGATGTCTTGTAGCCCAGGATAGTCTGGTACTGTCTTTGTAACAGAGGCTGGCTTTGAATTCCTTGTCCTCCTGTCTCTGCCTCCCAAGTGCTGTGCGTCATGACACTGGCTCCTGTTCCTGAGGTTTCTTTCTTTTTTAAAAAAAAATACATAATGTCTTTTGAGTTCATCCACGTTGTGCAAATGGGAGAGATGTTTTGCAAGGCTGAAGAATGTCTGCTCTGTGTATGCATCACGGTTTCTTTACCCACCCATAACCTCGGTGTCCAGATAACTTTTGGGGGGGGCATCTGGATGTCCAGCTGTTAGTGTGCCATTTTTGAAGACTCATTTCTTCATTGATTTCTCCAGGGCTTCCTGGCTACACTACCACGCTCTCAACAGTAGAGCTTTACCTTTTTTTCTTCAATAACTGTAACTCTGATTCTTGTCATCTAATCACATCAGTGAAAACTTCCAGAGCAGTGTTCAGTAAGAGAAGGGATGACGACATCTCTCCTTGCTCCTCACCTTAGTGGGCAGGGCTCTGCTTTTCCTCTCTCAAGGCGCAGGTTAAGTAGTAAATACATACTTTGCATTAAAGGCAGTATCTATTACTTTATACTTTCTTGAGTGTTTTCTTCAAGAATACATGTTGATTTCTGTTAGGCGTTTGTGCGGCTTTTAATGGAGATAATTATAAATCTCCTCTACAAGTCTGTCAGTTTGGTTCATTATTTGAAGCGGTTTCCCCTCTTTAACCAGTGTTGCATCCCTTGAGTAATTCCCACTTCGTCATGGCACATGGCTGTCATTATGCATGGAATTTCAGTAGTATTTCTCATATTGGAAGTGATAGTGGGCTCTACATCTTTTGTACTTTCTTCACCAGCTTTAGATATAAATGCTCTTGTTTACAAAAGCATTAGGAAAGTTTCTTCATATTCAGTGTTCTCCAAACATTTTTCTATCTCTTTTTTTCTGTTTAGTGATTGAATCCCAGGTCTTAATGCATGCCAGGCACCTGCTTGACTACGAGCTGCATGACCAGGATGTTGTAATTGTTTTTGAGACAAGGTCTCACTGAGTTGCCCTGACAGGCTTTGAATCTGCTCCGTGGCTCAGGTGGGCTTTGAACTTGTCATCCTTGCTTTATTTTCCCAAGGAGCTAGGATTAAAAGGCCTGTGCTATCAGGCCTGGCAAAGTGCCAGTATTTTGATTTATAGTTAAATATGTTTTTCTGTTCTCTAGTTCATTCATTTCCAACTTTATTTTCATCATTTCTTTTGACTTATTTTTTTTCTTAGTATTCAATCTAAAAATTAGGGGGTTTTTTTGTTTTGTTTTTTGTCTTTTTGAGACAGGGTCTCCCTGTAGCCCCAGCTCCTGGAACTCATTATCTAGACCAGGCTGGCCTTGAACTCACAGAGCTCTGCCTGCCTCTCCCAAGTGCCGGGACTACAGGCGTGCACCACCACACCCTAAAAATTAATTCTTAATAGTACTTTTCTTTAGAGTCATGTGGCTGTGGCTATTCTCCTCAGGATTGAGTTGATATTACAAAAGAAACCTCATTTGCCTTTTTAAGGGAAATGTTTTTGGGTATAAACGATGTAAAATACTTCTTATGTTTCTTTGTTCTTGTGTTTACAGAAGGCTGTCAGTCTTGAGAAGATCAAGTTCTCACAGCTGGGAAGCGAGGACTGCTTTTCAGACTCCAGGTAAGCTGCAGTTGCCTCAGCCCTACGCACAAGTCTTCTCTCTTTCAGAGAGGTCTGCCTCTCTCCAGAGAGCTCCTCAGTGGTACGTCAGGCCCTTTTCTGCCAAGTAAGGAGAGACGTTTCATTGAAGATCCATTCGTGTACAGCAGTGATTTTTTTTAAGTACCAACTGTATACCTAGTGCTACTCTGTCTACTAGGGAAAGAACAAGCAAATACAGCAACAAACACAGGAATTATAGAGGACATTAGAATGCGCCAAGTGCTGTGGGGAAGAATGAAACAGGAGCAGGTGATAGCGACCCTGGACATCAGACAGACAACCCACAAGTTAATAGAGTGGTCGGAAAAGGTCTCACTGAGACGTGACATGTGAAAAGATAGTCTTTGGAGGTCTAAAGAGAAAGCCAGGCACATTCCTGGAGGAAGAAGCCCAGAGACAGAAGAAAGGAAGCACAAACCCAGTAGGATATATCTGGAAGAGGATCAGCTTAGGAGACTGTGGTGGCTGGATTCAGGGACGGAATTGGAGAAATGGTGACAGAGGTCAGGGTAGCTCCAGTCAGGCTCTTGGGCTGCTGTGAGGACTGGGGTAGGACAGGAAGCTGTTGAGTAGAACAGAAGTGCACACATCAGCTTTTGCTTTATCAGGACTACACTAGCTGCAGAATTGAGGGTTAGGGAGGGCTCTTAACTCCCTGACAGTGAGGGCTCATGAGCTTGTTAGGACCTCTGGGACAAGTACTACCAGTCTGAGGGCTTCAAATAACCAAGGCTGTAAATCCAGGATTCTGGAGACTAAACTCCACCAGAGCTCCTCTAGAGGTCTCCTGGACTTGCAGACGGCTCTCCTCACTATTCTTATGTGGGCTCACTACTGGGTGTGCGTCTTTGCTAACTGTGGGTGTCCTGATTCCCCCTTAGAAGAACATCAGGGTTAGGGCCACCAGATGGCCTCATTTTAGCTTTAGTCATTCTTTAAAATCATGTTGCAGATCATGTTGCAGAGATTAGGGTTGGACACAGTTCAGCCTATAGCAAAGGAGCCAGCTAGGAAGCTGTAGTAATTCGCAGGGGAAATGAGCGTAGTTTGGATGAGATTGGGTGGGTGAGAAGTGGTTGGCTGTGGATTTGTAAAGTTTGAAATGACAACCTGGTTGTGATGTGTAAAGTGGAGGAGTACTGAATTTTATTATTTTTTTTTTTTTGTAGGACATACCTGATACCAGTTTGTCCAGGGTGGAGGCTAGGTCTCAAGATAGCCAAAGGCACCCCTAAATTGTCTTCTTTCCTAGCTAAGCTTGGCGGCCATGACTGCATGTCCTGTGCATAACTGACTTGCCTTCATGAGAGGCTTCGTGTGTGTTCATGTGTGTGCAAGTGCATGTACACATCTGTGTATATGTATGTGGAGGCCAGAGGACTACCTCAGCTGTCCTTCAGGCATCATCCATTGTGTTTTTGAGATAGGGTCTCTCCCTGTAGCCCCAGCTGGCCTGGAACTCACGCTGGCCTCAAACTCACAGAGATCCACCTGCCTCTGCCTCCGGAGTGCTGGGATTAAAGGTGTGTGCTACCATACCCGGAAACCCTTCTGATTTTTGACCTGAGGATGAATTTGTCAGAAACTGAAGTGAAATATGGGGTGGAGTGGATTGAGAGCTTAGTATCAGTGTAATGCTTCTGCTGACTGACTTCCACTGTGAGCCAGAGTGGATTCTACACAGGTTCTGGGCATTCAGTCCTGTAAACTCAGCTCAATAAAAGACTATTGTTCCCTGGTGCTTTAGCGGGTGAGGTTGGTTGTTACAGGGACAGAGCGTGCTTCTGAGCTTCATGCATGGTGGTTAGTGGCTTTTCTGGTATTTTTTCCTGAGGCCCTTGGTCATGGAGGGAAAACCATGTTTGCTGTGGATAACCCCCATTCCAGGCAGTTCTTTGGAATCCGATACCCACATGCATCAGTTGACAAAGCGAACTCTGAATCACCATCTTGGCACTAAATACGTAGAAAAACATCCTCTTTTCAGGGGATGGATAATTTGTTGGCTAGCAAGGTCCATCTGATGAGTATATCCTCACTTCCCAGGGTAATTCCTGTGGGTTCTGTGTTGCCTCACGCCGCAGAAAGCTCACTGCTGAGTGCAGTGCAGGAGACAGGCTGTTGGAACGCTGGCGCCGTCACTGCGTCGGCCAAGTGTCTGTTGTTTAGTTTCCTTCTTTTCTCAAAGACGGCCGGGCTTCCCAACGTGCCTCACAGCTCATCTCTGCTGTGTCCCTCTGTCACAAAGTGGTGTTTCCCACACGTCTGAATGCCTTTTACATTCAGTTCTTCCTACTTGTCAAACTAAATTTTAGAGCTTTTCCAAGTTGACATTTGAAGCCTTGGTATCTGTGGGTAATTTTCTTTCTGACTAAGCCTATTACTTATTGCAGTAAGCAGGAGAATGTATGTGCCTTACACAGGAAATCATACTAATTGCTGAGTGAAAATTAGAAACCAGAGTTGGTAAATTGATGAGATAGAATGTCATCTGTCGTCTCATCACCAGGAAGTAAACATGATCTACTGTGCCTTTGAGATCCTTTGGGGTGATATTTCTCTGAATTCTGCTCCATTTTACATCCAGCATGCTGCATTCAGTGAGCTTTAACATTTGCAGTGTGCTGTATTTAGTGAGTTTTGATACTTTTGATACATGAGGCTCCAGTCCAATAACAGTTTCTTGGATACTCAGTCTTTATGAGAAACTAGCGTTTCCCCAGAAAAAAGTGAATATACTGAACAATAGAGGTTTCATGGGTTATAAGGGTCTGTGGGTATCAGATAAGTACTTTGTTCTAAGTTTGGAAAACCTGTGTACCAGGATTGTCCTAGGTATTAATTAGACAGCAGTGAGTGATTTGAATAATATGAGAACAGAAAAAAAGATCCTTGTCTGTCAGGGTTGACACTAGGTAGAGAAAAGAAAACAGGAAAGGCAAGAAAGGTGTTGTGTCTGGGACGGAGACAGGTTACACTTCACAGTAAGGTAGGTGCTCAGAGTCTGGGGCGGTGACAGGTTACACTTCACAGTAAGGTAGGTGCTCAGAGTCTGGGGCGGTGACAGGTTACACTTCACAGTAAGGTAGGTGCTCAGAGTCTGGGGCGGTGACAGGTTACACTTCACAGTAAGGTAGGTGCTCAGAGTCTGGGACGGAGACAGGTTACGCTTCACAGTAAGGTGCTCAGAAACAGCCCCACTGAGAGTATAACAGTTGAACAGAGCTTAAATGAGGTGAGGGAGAACTTTGCAGACATGGAGAAGAAAGGTCTTTCCTCAGGGGAGGGACAGTGAGCAGGGAGACTCCGCCTCCGTTTGGTTGGAAGTAAAGGCGAGTGTCCATAGAAGGAGCCTTGGAAGACCAGAGTTGGAGACAGCTGACAGATTGAATTTCCTTTTGAGGAAGTTTTTTAAAAATTATTTTTATTTTTTGTGTATGAGTGTATTGTCTGCCTGTGTATAAGTGCACCCCTATTGTGCAATGCCTGTGGAAGGTCCGAAGAGGGCGTCAGATCCCCTGAAACTGGAGTTACAGTTGTTAGCCACCACATGGGTGCTGGCTATTGAACCCGGGTCCTCTGCAAGCACAGCCAGTGTTGTGTGTAGACTGGGGTCCTGGCTTCAGGGCACCTCATATCTGCAGATACTCCAAAACCTCAAATCCAAAAGACTTGTTCTCCAAGCATTTTGGATAAGGTGTCCTGCCAGAATGTAGAATCTGTGTATGGATTCTAACAGAGCTTCCCTCTCCCTCCCTCTGCATTTATTGATTTACTTTGCCTGTGTATGTGTTTGTGCTTGTGGTGGTGCCACATGGCATTAGTGTGAGGTCAGAAGACAGTCCATCCTCTCCTTCCACCAAGCAGGTTCTGGGAATCAGACTCAGGTGGTCGGGCTTTGGTACTCACTGTTACTCACGGATCTAGCCCTGACACACAGTTTCTAGACACTAGTCTTTCCTGCAGTGATTTTAGTTTTGAGAATTCTTAGTTATAGAAATAATATTTCTACTTTGTCTCATAGGTTTGGAAATAACAAGTAAGAAATTTATATATATGATGCTGGAAACTTGTAAAATCAAACTGCTAATAAATGGAAGGCTTGAAACAGATGTATGTTTGAAGTTATCAAGAAAATGACCATGAATACATTGAGCGTCAAAAAGACCAATGGAAAACCACTTAGGAGAGAGGCATAGAAAATGTGCACTTCAGAAGAGAGATGTAACCAGAGAACTCAAAAGAGAAGAATATACCATGTATGCCCTCAGAAGGGCAAAAAGATTTTCATTCATGTACACGAGATCACGGAAATAGATAATCAGATACACCAGTGCCTTGAATGTGAACAAAACTTTCATGAAAGCTTAGCACTTATGTGTGAGAGAACCCACACTGAGGAGAAGCCCTGTCGATGTGAGATGTGTGAGAAAGCCTTCATCCAAAGCTCAGAGCTCATCTCCCACCAGAGGACCCACAGCTACGAGAAGCCGTATAAGTGCAGCAGATGTGACAAGAGCTTCTGGCACCACTTAGCCCTTTCCGGACACCAGAGGACGCATGCGGGCAGAAAGTTCTACACATGTGACATCTGTGGCAAGAACTTTGGTCAGAGCTCTGACCTACTTGTCCACCAGCGAAGCCACACAGGCGAAAAACCGTATCTGTGTAGTGAGTGTGATAAATGCTTCAGTCGAAGTACAAACCTCATAAGGCACCGAAGAACTCACACAGGTGAGAAACCATTTAAGTGTCTGGAGTGTGAAAAGGCCTTTAGTGGGAAGTCAGATCTTATTAGCCACCAGAGGACTCACACTGGCGAAAGGCCTTACAAGTGTAACAAGTGTGAGAAAAGTTACCGACACCGTTCAGCCTTCATCGTACACAAGAGGGTTCACACTGGGGAGAAGCCCTACAAGTGTGGTGCCTGTGAAAAGTGCTTCGGTCAGAAATCGGACCTTATCGTACACCAGAGAGTCCACACAGGTGAGAAGCCGTATAAATGCCTGGAGTGCATGAGAAGTTTTACTCGGAGTGCCAACCTCATTAGGCACCAGGCAACTCACACTCACACCTTCAAATGCCTTGAATATGAGAAAAGTTTCAGCTGTGGCTCAGACCTCATTGTCCATCAGAGGATTCACATGGACGAAAAGCCACATCAGTGGTCCACGTGTGAGAGTGGCTTCCTCCTGGGCATGGACTTCATTGCCCAGCAGAAAATGAGGACTCAGACAGAAGAGCTGCATTACAAGTACAGTGTCTGTGACAAAAGCTTCCGTCACAGCTCAGCCCTTCTTCAGCACGAGACGGTGCACATCGGTGAAAAATACATGTGCAGTGTGAGTGAGAAAGGCCTTGAACTCAGCCCTCCTCATGGAGAAACCTCGCAGATGTCTTGACTAGCAGGAAGTTGGAGAACCTTAAAACATGTATTTACACATCAGAACTCATTACCGTAAAGAACCCCAGGTGAATTTCAGATTTTCCTCAGAGCTCAGACTTCATTGGGGACCAGAGAGTCTGCAGTCTTAGGAGTGTAAGAAAAGCATTACAGAGTGGCCTGACCTGAACACCTTTATTGGCCACTACAGTGAGAAACTTCACAGATGGTCTGGGTTTTGGAAAACGTTTAGCTTGAGCACAAACTGGGGGCTTTCGAGATGATTCCCACGGTAGGCAGCATGAAAGTGTTCCTGCAGTGCTCAGCCCCCATCAGCGCCTGAGCTCCCATCAGGGAACAGCTGTCTAAGTGCTTCGTGTTCATAGGGCTACAGACAAGGCAGGATGTACATCTCAGTGGATGCCACAGAATTTTCCCTAGGGAGAAACTCCAGAAGTTATGGAAGGAGCTTCTAGCAGAATCCTCGCTTTTCTTACCCATCAGAGGAGCCATACTGGTAAATGCAAACTTGCCTTGAGTGTGGCAGAAACATTTGTTGGAGAGCTTTACTTGGGTTCGCATCCCCCTAGACAAAAATCAGGAAAGATCTAAGTGTCCAAATGAGAAACCTGGCCTGTTTTCAGTTCTTGGGGTACATCAGGGAACTCATGTTGGCGAACACCCCACAAATGCTTAGGAATATGAGAAGTTTAAAGCTGCTGTCTAATTGGGTCCCGAGAACTGCTCTGCAGAGAGGTTACTCCAGTGAGATCTAGCTGTGGGTGAAAATCTACTCGATGTGGACAAGAAGAGCTGTTCTCAGAGGTGGCTGGACCATGTTGTCGAGAAACTTTAAATGGAGTTGGTTTGGAAGTAGTCTTTGAGATACTCAGAAGTGTGTTCTGGGAGGACCTAGGGCAGGTCAGAGTAGGCCTGATGGGTAACTCAGGTAAAGATGCTTTTTTATCTGAACTGCTTAGTGATTGCTTACTTTTCTTTTTTAAAATCCATAAATCCAGTAAAGGACAGGACTGTGATCTTGCAATGTGAGGTGTCGGGTGTGTGTTATGTCAGAGGAAAGGAGTCCATTGATTTTTGCCTCCTGGGGTTTTTTTCCCCTTTCTTTAAAAGTTCTTAAATTTAATTTCATGGCTAGAGTGGGTCGTGTGTTGTCAGCAAGTCGAGACCCTTTCGCAAGCTGTGGAAAGAACTAAGAAGCTACTTTGGATTGAGACTCCCAGCAGTTCTCCCCTTAGAAGGATCTGCCCCAGCAAAGGGCAGAATATTCAGCTGTTTGCTCGGCGTTGAGGCCTGCCTTCAGAATGGCCCTTTTCTCTAAAATATCTGTATGTTATCATTGGTACTTGAAATTTCAAATTTAGAGATTTATTTCTTTTCAACCCAAAGTCCAGTCCAAACATGATGAGGTAACTCTCCAGATTTTTGTGACTTGCTTTATCGTCCTTCAGTGGTAGAACCTCAGCTGCTCCAGCCTCCAGCTCCAGGGGAGTGTGAAGCCTGAGTGAGATGAGACCCAGCGAGGCGCTGATGGAGGAGCAGGACGTGGTCTCTGAGTCCCGGCTCCAGAGCGCAGGCTCTTCCTCCCCTTGTCCTGCTCCTTGTAGCCAAGCAAGCCTCACGACACATTTTAGTTTCAGTTCTGCCAAGGAAACGAAAGTACCTTTTAGGCGCAGGGAAGGATTGCCATCAGCACAATAGGTGGTATATGCTTGGCCCGGAATGTCCGATTCTAAGTGCTAGAAGGGGGAAGTGGCTGGTAGAGCCACCAGGGTTCAAGAAGGAGTGTTTGTTTCCGGTCCAGCAGAGGATTGAGAGTCCTTAGTGTTCTCTGGTAGTCCCCGGCCCCTGACTAAATGGTCACTACTCAGTGTTTTCCTTCCTTTGGATTAAAAGATGCTTAATAGATACTTTAATTTCTTGTAGGATATGGGTCTCTGTAGACTAATAATTATTTTGTTGCTAGTCAGAGCCCTCTTTAGCAGACCCCACATCAATTCCAGGGGTACTATTGTTGCGATTCGTGACTTTGATCAGCTGCTAGTTTGTGGCTGTAAGTGCTCATCCTGACGGCTCGTGGACGTAGTCCACATGAGGAATCTAGGTCCTGGATTTTTTTTTCTCTTACAAAATAGGTTCTGTAAGTTTATTTAATCTGATGTGTTCTGGTAATATTTATAAATAGCTCTTGTCCCAGTGTGATAGAACACACAAGATATATATTTTTCTCTTTGGTGAAAATCATGCCTATTACTAGAGTTAAGTTTGATGATTGTGATACTTAAAATATTAATACTGGATGTTTGGCATGGCAGTAATAAAAATTAGTCGTTACGGCTGCTCATTCATCAGTAGACAGACCATGGAGAAAGGGACAAAGTTAGTATCATTAGCAGGCTGGTGACGTACCCTTCCTTCAGCTAATCTTGCTGGTAATGGTAGTCTCTAAGTAAGTTAACAGTGGACCATCCCTCAAACGGAACTTTGGGGATGTAAAAACCTGAGGACTTTAAACCGTGGTGGGGAGGTGCTGGTGTTACCCATATAGCATGACCTGAGGTTGGAGAGGACCACTTGGGCCCTGTAACCAGAACTAGAAGGTAATCCTGGGATGGATGGAGGCCCCTTGAAGCAGTGCCAACCCAAATCTACCTCAGGTAAGTAGAGTAACTTCTTCAACATTTCAGACCAAATGAGATAAATTATATTCCGTCCATGTACTATGCTTTAATGTTTTTGTTTTCTTTTAATTCTTAAATAAACATTTGTTCTGAATGACTCCGTTCCTATCTCCACTGTACTGTGAGAAATTTGCCTGCCCCTACACTGGTGTCAGGATACACAGATGTTTGTGCAACATGGTAGCGTAGTGTAACCATGGACCCAGCGTCTCAGGAGGTCTTGATGCAGAGGCGTGGAGCCCTGGAAGGAGCTTCTCCCTTACTCTGGACATCATGTCCTTCCGAAGCCTTCTGGGGGCCAAGAGCTTGAACTGACACATTAGAGGTCTGCTAAAATTCTGTAAAACCCAAATTCAAACCCCTTCAAAACACTAAAAAAATAAATATGAGTAACTGAATAAGTTTTAGAATTTTATTTTCTCAGGAGAATCCCCACTTGACTCTAGCTCTGGTTCTGCTGGAGTTGAGGAAGTGTTGACCTCAGGACAGTGTTTCCCCTAGTTGTGTCTGTTCTGCCAACAGACTCGGACCCAAGACTTTCCTGGTAAGAAAAGGGTGAGAGGGAAATGTGACAGTTGGCTCGGTGAGTGGGAAAGGGAAACTGGACGGTTGAGTTTTTTGGTTTTTTGAGGAGTTTTTTTTGTTGTTGTTTTTCTTCCCAACATTCAGAGTGGTGTGGCCAAACAAGGCCTGTAGCCTGCATGGTGTGTTTTATTTTTTCCTTGAAATGATGCTGCACCTCAACATTGAAGATGTTTGTGTGTGTGTGTGTGTGTGTGTGTGTGTGTACACATACACATACACATACATATGTAACAAGAAATACTAGTCATATCCCCTAGAAATAGGTGAAAGCATGCCCAGTATCTGGGACCCTGGGGTGAGAGGATGTCTGGCACCACAGGTATGTTTTTCCCCCTAGTGCATCCCAAGCTTTCTTGTCTCATCTCTGCCTGAGTCATCATTTTCCCAGGTCGAGGTGGGGTTGCAAGTGTTAAGGAAGGCTTAGGAGTTGCTAGCCTTGCAGAGGGAGCTTCTGTCCATCTGTCAAAGGCAACAAAAAGCAGGAATAATGGCTGGGGAGATAGCTCAGTGGGTAACCTGCTTGCTGCGTATCCATAGCAACCTGAGTGTGGCTCCCCAGCACCCATGGAAAAAGTAGGCACAATGGTATGAGTAGTTCGTACTTGTACTCCTAGCACCGGGAGACAGAAGGAATCCTGAGTTCACTGGCCAACCAGTTTAGCTAACTTGGTGAGCCCTGGGTTCAGTGAGAGACCTTGTCTCAAAAAACTGAAGGAGCTGCAGAGATGGCTCAATAGCTAAGTGCACTGGATGCTCTTGTAGAGGACCTGGGTTCAGTTCCCATTACCCACATGGAGGCTAACAGCATCCCCTGGAGTTATAGGTAAAACACTCATACATATAAAATAAAAATAAATTGCGAAAATTAAAAATAAGAGCCAGATGTGGTGGTGCAGTTCTTTAATCCCAGTTCTTAAGAGGAGACCTGTCTCACCCCTCCCCCCAAATAAAAGTGGGAGTGTGTAGGGGGAAACAAAGTTGATCTCTGGCCTCTATATGTGCAGTCTTAACATGTGCACACACATGAACTCAGGAGGTGGATGGAAGTAAAGGGACCAGGAGTTAAAGGCCAACCTCAGCTACATGGTGAGTCTAGGTAGAGGCTCTGCTTCATCAGTTAATATAATCGTGGGAATAGAAGGACTCCATTGGTAATGAATGGAAACATCAAATTGAAGACTGGCACCTAGTGAGGGGACGGGAGGACCTTTGGAATAGCTATTTTGGATCTATTTTGTACCTGGGAAACCTCAGAACTCCTGGTCTTGGTTGTCTGGGAGGCTGCATTATTACTCTGAAAATGAGGTGCCTTTCTTACAGAATTTGAAGTGGACTGTCTTAGCTTATTTCTCCATTGCTGTGACAAAATACTCCGAGCAATACCAAGTTCCTCTCATCTCCCAGGTTCATCAGGGAGCCAAAGGTAGGAACTCGGCAGGAGCTGGAGCACAGGCCATGGAGGAATGGCTGCTTACTGGCTTGCTCCCCTGGCCCCTGCTTAGCCTGCTTTCTTATGCAACACAGGCCCACCTGCCCAGGGGTGGCACCACCCACAGTGGGCTGAGCCCTCCCACATCACTCAGCAGTCAAGAAGATGCCACACAGACATGGCCACAGGCCAGGCCTATGGAGGCAATTCACCAATTGAGGCTCCCTCAGCCCAGGTGTGTCAAGTTGACACTAAAGCTGTCCAGCACATGGACCCTCATTGAACCCAGCACCTCTTCTAAAAAGGGGCCTCGGTCTTACCCGTGAAGGAAATGGGAACTGCTTAGGGAGACATGATGACAGTGGCTCTTGGGTAGGAAGGCCTTATGGGTTTCCTGTGGGCAGCTCAGTCCACAGTCGTGGACTGATCAGGGAATTTTATGTGCTGCTGCAGTGACCCGCTCTGCTGGAGTCCTAACCACTGTAGCCCTGTTTACCCATCCATCCTCTCCCACCACGTTACCTGTTCTTCAGGACGAAAATCTGGCAGTCGTAGCCCTCCTTACTACAAATCACTTAGCTAACCTGTCTTCTCCCTAGGGAATTAGTGCCTTGACTCCCTTTGAACATGCCAAACCTTCCATCCTTCCAAGCTACATTGTCTTCAGTAACTTCTAGAACCTTCTTTTCATGGGCTCTGTTGATCATTTTCTTTGCTGAAGATTTTTCTGTCTTTACATGTGCAGAGATGCCTTTTCATTGGCTGAGAGTTTATGTTGCCCCTGATGTCAGTCTACTGGCTCCTCCCGAGTTCACCAGCTTAAAGGCTTCAGCCTTCATTTCTTTAGTTTCATTTTGTGTGATGACTGTTTTGCCTGCATGTGCGTAAGTGCACCATGTTGTGCAGTGCCAACAGAGGCAAGAAGAGGGTTTTAGATCCCTTGGAACTGGAGTTACGGATGGGTAGCCTCAGCGCTAAGAACTGAACTTGGGACCTCTGCAAGAGCAGCCAGTGCTCTTAATTGGTGAGCCGTCTGTCCAGTCCTCACTGTCTTCATTTCTAAATGTTTATTTTGCTGCAGTGTGACTTCTTCCCTCGGTTCTTTACTTAGCTACCCTCTCAGCTAGCTGCCTTCTCCGTGACTACATTTGAAACCCGAATACAATATATGCTCCCTAGCTCTGCATCTCGGGTGGTGCCCTCCATCTTGTACGTTGTAACAGGATGATACTGATTCTCTTTTTTTTTTTTTCTTTGTAAGACAAGGGCCTCAAGTAGCCTAGGCTGGCCTCAAACTTACATAGCCAGGAGTGACCATGAACAACTTCTGATCCTCTTGTGCTGGGATTATAAGCATGCACCACTGCTCTCAGCTTGTGAGGTGCTTGGTATTGAACCTAGGGCTTCATGAATGCTAGGCAAGCACTCTGAGCTCCGTCTGCAGCCCCACAGACATTTCCTGAACTCCAATGTCATTCCTCTCCCCATCTTAGAAGTTTAGGCTCTCACAGCCTTTCGTTTTCCTTTTTGTTCTAATCACTGGAGCCCAGAAGCAAGCCCAGTGGGTACTTGGATCGAGTAGTTCTTTCCTTTTGAGCACAAAGGGCGGTGACTTGAGTTTCTCCCTTGCTTAGACTAGGATCTTATGACAAAGATGATGGGATAGTCTACTTGAGCTGACTGGAAAAGATTGTGCTTGCCTTGAAGTAAACGTGTGTGTGTGTGGTGTGTGTGTGTGTGTGTGTGTGTGTGTGTGTGTGTGTAGGAAACTGGTTAAGAGCCACGGGGCAGCCTGTAGGAACAGTGGGTTTGTCTTGGATTGACATGAAAACAGAGCCTCAGACCTGAAGTTTTGAAAAATGAATTCTACCAGTCAGTAACTGTGGTAAAGGTCCTATGCCTGGAGTGAGAGTTCAGCCCAGAGAGACCGAGCAACAGCAGATGCAGGTAACCCAGATTCCAACCCACAGAAGTTGAGGGCTATCAGGTCACTTTAAGCAACTGCTAGCCACATCAGGATGTCTAGAGCCACAGAAGCGCTCTGACTTCTTTTTTACTCATTCATAAACTGCTTTAGTTTGGTTTTGTTTCCATGTATTTATTGGTTGAGACAGGGTCTCACTATAGCCCAGACAGACATTAAACTTGTGATCCTCTTACCTCAGCTTCCCAAGTGCCACCAAGCCTGACACCCCAATGTTTTGTTTTTAAAATTTCATACCCATTGAGTAGATGGAAGTTCACCTAGATTCTTGGCTTAGTATTCTGCCACATTTGTTTTATCTATTATGTATTAAACTTCTGAATTGTTTGCTAAAGGTTTTCACTTGTCAGGGTGTGTCCTAACAACTGGGACTTTCATGCACATTGTTCTGTCTAAAGGAGGTAATGTGTGTCTCCTGCTGGGTCCCACAGGAGGCCCATGATGTCTATTTGTCTCGTTAGTGATATGCTAAGTTGTTTAAAATACTTCTTTAAGGATGTAAAGGTCCCTTTTCTACTTTATAATAAGTGGTGAGTGATACTTTAAGACTATATGGGTCATTTTCACAACCTAGACTATCCTCACTTGAATGGATTATAGTGGAAATTGCAAAATGAATATTTTCCATTTCTTTGATTTTTTTTTTGAACAATTAGTTTTATGTAGAAACAGAACCTTCCCTACAGCTCCCTTTTGTTCTAAGTATCACTGTGGATTCCTGGATTTTTATTTTGATGTGTCCACTACCATCATTCTTTGTGAGGCTTAAATTATGCTAAATGTGACCAGTTGAAAACCTTTTAAACCAATTTTTATGTCTTCTTAGTGTGTCCCTACACTTTTGCTTTCTTACATACTGTGTTCATCAGCGTTCTCCAAAGAAACATAACCGGTAGAATGAATATATATGTATAGAGATTTACCAGCTTAGCTCACAGGATAGAGTCCGAGTAGTCCAACAATGGCTGCACCACACTGGAGAGGCTGAGAATCCATAGTCGCTCAGTTCACGAGGCTGGATGTCTCAGGAGTCCCAATCTGGCATCGAAGGTCTGACAAATTCCAGAAGATCAGCTAGTCTTCAATCTACAGCAGC